TCTGATATTTTAATACCTTTAGTAATCCAAATTTTTTTCTTCTCAGTTTTAATTTTTCGAATTGGAAATGATTCGTTGAAGACATATAAAAGGGAGTTATGGAAGTTATGGGAGTTATGGAATAAGGTCAAACTAGCTGTAATTTCAACATCTGTAAAAATTGAGAACATTAATTTTTGGAGTGATTCTTCAATAACTTTATCAAGGATAAAGGGACCACCTAACACTTGGAAGGTATTCGTCGCTAATCGAGTTGCTCGAATTCAAGAATTGTCCAATCCTTCAAATTGGAAGAATGTCAATACTCGCGATAATCCGGCAGACCTTCCTTCCAGAGGAACTTCTGCCACGACCTTGATAAATTCCAAACTATGGTGGTCCGGCCCTGAATAGCTCGCGTCATTTCGTGATGAGTGGTCTGAAAATTCACACTTTCCGATTCCTTCCACGGAAATGCCTGAAATTCGCTCCACTACCTTGATTTCCATCAGTAGTAAAACAGACGATTTTTCCAAATTTCAGGAATTGAACAAATTTTCTACCTTGAATAAACTCAAACGTGTCCTTGCTTATATAATTAGATTTGTTGATAATGTCAAAGTTAAAAATTTCAGAAAGACCGGCCCTCTTTCCCCAGAAGAATTAAATAACTCAATTAAAAAAATTAACTCGGTTAGCACAATCTGAAATTTTTGCTGTTGAAGTAAACCAGTTGAATTCACTCGGACATGTGAATAATAAAAGCCCTTTATTGAATCTCAATCCTTTTTTGCATGAATACGGCTTTATCAGAGTGGGTGGAAGATTAAAACATTCTAATTTCGACCTCAATAAAAAACATCCTGTTGTTTTACCTAAATCGCACAGGCTTACGGTTTTAATCGCTCGTGACGAGCATGTGAAACGTCTTCATGCAGGACCTCAAGCTTTATTGGTATCCTTAAGAGACTGTTTTTGGCCAATACTCAAGTCATGTATGGAAAATTGTTTTCCTCTCAAACAAAAAAATAATAACAACAAAACATAAATGACTTCTGTTTCCACACTGACATGCACGAATGCATACAGTGTCACAGATTTACAGCAAATAATATAAAAAATATAATGGGTGATCCACCCAAGGATAGGCGTAACAGGTGTCGATTATTGTTTTCCATTTCCTATTAGAGATAGAAAGATTCTGAATTATAAAGTAACTAATTCTTACATTTGCCTCTTTATATGTCGCGCAACCAAGGCCATGCATTTGGAAGTTGTGAGTGATCTATCTACTGAATGTTTTATTGCTGCACTTAGACGATTTGTTGTTGTGTTCTAAAACTGTATCTGATAACGGGAGTAACTTTGTGGAAGAAAGTGAAAACTTTTCTCAACCCTGCATTACCCGCAGTACAAATAATGACACCATTGCCCGCTGGTGAGCGCTGCGCTCATGTTCACCTATTACCATAGATTATTGCCTGAAATGACGCAAATATGAAAAAACTCACTACACCATTTAGGTAAAAAAATATTTTGTATTCTAAAATAAAAACAAATATTATTTCGATATTTAAAAAAAAAAAACAAAAATTAAGAATAAACAAAAGGTAATAAGTAGCAATAAAAAATATTATTATCCTTACTCCGAATCAGATTGAACACAATGAGCGCAATAGGTAAGGGTGTGTTCCTTACAAATAGGTTTCTGGCATTCGACACTTGTCTTTCTATTTTTCTTTTTTGGGCAATATGTATACTTTGGTCTCCCTTGAGGCACAGTTGGGTTATCATCTTGTTCATTTATTGGAGGGATTCCTAAATAGTTCTTCATTTGCAAGCTTAGTAGGGATGGCAAATTTTGATTTAGACGTTCCTTCATGTGGTTTTGTACCAACTCCCTTGCCAAAGATTTCAAATAGAGTCGTCGCGGCATATTCAAATGTACGTTGTTTGACCGAAAAAGAATGAATCCATTTATAGCAGCAATATTGAGCATTGAGAAAAATACTGTCAAAGGCCACCTACAAGTAATCCTGGCTACAGAATAAATAGATTTGAGTTGGTCCACTGTATCGACTCCAGTTTTATTTCGATTATAGTACATAATCACTTCAGGCTTGCAAGCATCGCCTGTACTTTTATCGATAGTGTCATCCTCATGAAGAGTAGAAAAAAGTAAGACATTTTTGTTTTTTTTTGGAACATATGACACTAGCAGACAATCTTGTCCAAATCCAAACATACTGCTAGAGATGGGTCTTTGTTTAGTTTCTGAAAACGAAGGTGGAATTTGACGTTTATTCTTTCGAAGAGTTCCTACCAAAGTGAGCTTATAATTCTTGAGTAACTCAATAGCTAACCGAATTGATGTGAACCAATTGTCGCAAGTTATGTTTCGTCCCGAGTTGTGGATTGGCTGGGATATGCGAAGTACAACACTTCTTGAATCATTATCTATTCTAAATGGGCCTGCCGGTTGCTTTCCTGTGTAAATTTTCATCTTTATGGTATAAAAAACTAATAAAAAAATTTTGATACCGTACTTACCCGGTTTATTTGGAATATATTGCCGAAAACCGCATCTACCCCGAAAAGCCTCCAACATTTCATCAATTGTGCAATTTGTGCCTGGTATATAGCAAGCTTGGCAATTATCTTAAAAAATATCGAATACTTGCCTTATCGGTGCCAATTTATCCCACTTTTTTCTTTCTAGTCTTGTTCTAATGTCGTCAAATCGAAGAGCTCGTAAAAGTAAATAGAACCGATTCTTCGACAGTATCATTCTGAAAAATTCTGGAGCAGTTGAATCCGTATTCCATAAATCAACCAAACTGGTATGATTCGACTTGAGAACCCGTGCCATGTATAATATGCCAAACATGGTTCTGATTTCATCAACATCGGTATCCAAAACATCTCGAGAACGTGTGTTTTTGTCACGAATACTTTGGAGGTATATATTTGTGAATATAACAATATCTGTAACCATTTGATCAGTAATCAACATGTTCCATGTCTCATAGACAGACCGAGCATTTTTTGCGTGTGGTTTAACACCTGGTAACTTGGTAATTATATTTTTAGTTTTTGTTCGACTGTATCTCTTTGTATGATATGAATTTTCCAAAGAGTTTCCCCATCTTTCCCCACGTAATTGGGACCATCTTTGGACCAACGGTGAAAATTTGGATCATCTGATTCATCCGCAGACACTTCTGAGTTTGTATCGTGGTCATGTTCTTCTTCCACATAGTCTTCATCACTTTCTTCATAATCAAGTTCCTCTTCTGGGATCTAATTTTGCATATGTTGCAATTCTTCCTGTTCCAGCTCATCAAATATTTTCAAGAGCCTTGCCTCCTCTTTTGGATCCATTATAAAAATACTTTAATCACCCTATACAATTGATATATCAATTATATTTCCTCACTGAACGACATTCTTTCATAGAACTTACCAAAAATAAAACTGTCACTGTTACCCGCAAGTGAGCGGATCGCTCACTTATTACTTCAAATTAATATCGAATTACACTACATACATTTACTATGGCCTAAGCAAGACTGACTGACTTGAAAAATATGTTTCTAGAATACCCTAGATGGATACGCACATTGTTGCCAAATTGTGTGAGTTATCGCATATTTTAGAAAAAAGTGAGCGCCGCGCTCACCGTGCGGGTAACGCAGGGTTAAAGAATCATGTGAGACTATCGCAACCAAATTGAGTCAAGATGGTATACTTTGGACTTTCATACCTCCGAAAGCTCCTAATTTTGGCGGTCGGTGGGAGTCAGGTGTCAAATCAGTAAAACATCATCTGAAAAGAGTTGTTGGTAATACCATTCTAACTTATGAAGAGTTTTTGACCTTCGCCACACAAATTGAAGCATGCCTGAATAGTAGACCTCTTTGTGCTTCATCCAACGATCCTAATGATCCCTCACCTTTGACCCTAGCACACTTGTTGATTGGCGATAAGTTGACCTCAGTACCCGACCATGACTGGTCTGCAACCCCTGTGAATCGAATGAGTCGTTATCAACATCTTCAGAAGATGCCCCAGCATTTTTGGTCCAGGGGGACCAAAGAATACGTAGCTAGTTTACAAATTCGCAAGAAATGGAAGCAGAGACATCTCCAATTGTTTAAAAGTGGATCCTTGGTGCTTGTGAAAGAGGAAAGACTTCCTCCTTTGAGGTGGCTCAAGGGTAGAGTCATCAAAGTGTTTTCCGGTTCCCTTGGAGTGATTCGTACAGCATCCATAAAAACGGTTAATGGTGTTTATCAATCTCCTACTTACAAACTTTGTGTTCTTCCCACTTCAGACAATGACATTATGCCAGATGAAAGTGTTATTTAAAAACCTGTAGATTTTCAAAGGGGGCGGCATGTTGCGTCAAATGTGCCTATATTCATGGGACTATCGTGTTGTCTGGTCGCACCCGACTAATAAATTCTAAGAACTCGATCGTTACTGCCCTTGCCAAGTACCCGAGTTGTAGGAATAAGACAGGTTTTGATACCTGAAGACAGATGGTTATTTTGTTATTTTTAGTTACTTTTACTTGAGTTGTCTCGATGGAAACATGTAATATGTTTCAATACATTATTTTTAATATATTGCATTTTTATTCAAAAAGAACATGAAAATGGTATAAAATCCATAAACACAACAATAGATTCATTTCACATCAGAGGATTCAAATTCTACTTATCAACTCAAGATTATAGCATAATCTCTTGATGAAGTCAGGGTGGTTCGTGAAACGCGCATCAGGGAGGGTTTTGCAGTTCTGTTGTGTGCGAGCAATTTTTTTTGTCTCAAAAAGGATTCATTAAACCCATGATTCCCTACTTAACTGTGGTCATAAATTAACCGAAATTCTCAAATTGTCTCTTATAGTTATAGAACTGACTTTTCTAACATCAATTCATGAATAAACAATTTTATTCCAGATTAATATTTCCTTTCATTAGCAGAAAAACTATTAACTTCAACCCTTTCTGTTTTAGCATAACAGTGAATTTGCCAACCAGCTTCACTTAAGAGAAGCTAAATTTTATAATTATCTTAACCAATCGGACTGCATTAGAATTGAAGGAGATTCAAGAAGACTGGATAACCTGAGACTAGCTTTCAATGTTTTACAATTACCCTCGAATAAGTGTAATGGAATATTTGAAACATTATCGGCGATTTTATGGTTAGGAAATTTAACTTTCGAGGACATTGATGGAGAACGATGTCAACTTACCAAAGAAGATGAACATACTGTTGAAATTTTGTCGAAACTTTTAGGCTTAGAAATAGAAAATATTAAACAAGTCGTTTTATTGAGACAGATAAATGTTAGAGGGAATATTACAGAAATCCCTCTCAAGCTACAAGAGGTAAGTACAAATACTAATGATATCATTTTTCCATATGATTTGAAAACTAAGGAGAGTATGTTTACCTTTCAGGCTAGAGAAAATCGTCATGCAATGGCAAAAGCATTGTACTCTAGAACTTTTGCGTGGCTGATAAATCACATAAACAATTGCACAAACCCAGGACAAGACTCCACAAGATTTTTAGGTGTCTTAGATATTTTTGGATTCGAAAATTTTGCTGTGAATTCTTTTGAACAGTTGTGTATTAATTACACAAATGAAAAACTTCATAAATTTTTTAATCATTATGTTTTTGCTTTAGAACAAGATATTGTAAGTAAATTAAAAAATAGTTTATGTTTTCAGAATAAAATCTTGCTTTTTCAGTATTCCCAAGAAGAAATTCAATTTGATCATATTTCATTTACTGACAACACTTTATGCCTGGAATTGTTGGAAAAACCACCAAGATGTATCTTAAGACTGCTATCTGAACAGTGCCATTTACCACGAGGGTGTGATGCATCTTATATTTCGAATTTGCATTCCGAATTTGGAAATCATGAGAGATATATTAAAGGTATTGTTATCATGTTTACTTCAATTATAATGTCTAAGTTTCTAATTCTACTTTCTTACTTTGTTTTCAATATTTGTTGAGCTGCAACACAACGTTTTCCCAAAATTCTCTTATCATATCAGTTGATCCACTTTGTATTTGCAGAAAATGCGGTAATCGAGTTGTTGCTTAGATTATAAGAGAAAATTTTGCATGAAATAATCTGATTATATCATTATTTTCAATGGTGACTAACAGAACCAATTGACAAGATATTTAGACAATCTAAAATTAATGAAAATGAAAACAGATATTGGAGAAAATTCGATTTATTATAAAGGTATCAAGTATTACAATGATCTACGGAATACTTTAAAAGCATACAATAAACAAAAATTCCGGATTGATTTGAAAAAATGTTTATTGTTTGTATAGATCTGATGAGTGCATTTATGTGTATATTTATATTTTATCCAAGTTTCAGTTCTGATTTATCTCTTTTTTTTGTGTTCTGTTCGTACTTAGTTATGTTATAGTTATTTTTGAATTATTGTTTTTTTCCTGTTATAAACATATGTTTCTTGTAAAAATAAATCATTCTCTAGATAAATTCTAGGAGCTTTAAAAGACAATCAGGTTGAATAGGGAACAGTTGTAGACATGGCTTATACATTATTTCTGAGACTAGTAAAGAGGAATTATTTGTAATGAAGTTTCGAGGATACAGAAACATGTCTTGTGAGGACTCGGTGGCTGTTTATCTGAAGCAGCTTTAGACGTATTAGAAAGTCGACTACCATCGCTACAAAGGAGCAGTTCCCGACGCCCGTATATCTACCTGATTACTTAAAACTAACTCGAGTTGGTAAAAGGCAGTGCTCTCTGATGGCACTTCAGACTTAATAAGACTAGTGCTTGAGGTACCGCTAACACGCTAAATCTGAGATAAATAAAATTTATCCTATTTCTTCTTTGAAAGACTTTTTTTGTGGAGGACTCAATATTTTATACTGTTTTTTTTGGTTTATAACCTTCCACAATCTGAAAAAATAAATGCTAAATCAATGGAGAATCTGCTGAAGTGTAGTAAATAAGGGCAAACTAAAAAGTTCACCCCAAAAAGTTACTGCGTAATATAAACTACTGAAAAGTCCACTTAGTCAGTAGCTTGTCGTATTCATAAATTTTGTCTACAAATTGAAAAAATTAATTATTGACACTTGGCTTTCCTAAGTGGTTGACATTTAGGAAAATAATAATGAATTTCAGGTTTCGAAAACTGAAAAGGATTGGTTATCAATCATGCTCTTGATTTCTATATCTGTTGGTTTATTTATTAGATTGTTCACCTTGATCCTAATATTTCCATCTACTGTCTAGACGTAATAGTAATAATAACAAATTTCCACAATATACAATTTATTTTCAATAGTCGTTTCACTGCAACAGTAGCCTCCTCAGTTGGATATAACATTGGATTAACATTACTCGGCTCAGGTGGTGGTAGACTTAATATTGCTTTTTTTAGTATTTGTAATAAATATTGATTCATTTAAATTTACTACACTTTTTTCACTATTACAAAATTGGACTATTACATTTAGAGCTTTGCCTAAACAATCTGAATTTTTTATTTTCATATACATTTTTGAACTATTTTTGAATGTTGATAATATCTTTTTTATATAATAAGTCAAAAACAGTTTCACTGAATATCGGATCACACTATTCAGTATCTTTTTAACAACTTTCTGGAATATTATTGATGTATAGATAATGGAAAGAAATTATTTTCAATAATTCTATTCTATTCTAAGAGTCTGAGTACTTTTCTTTTAATTTGATCGTGATTATTATAATAAAATTTTGTTTTCTAACAATAGGTGATGATAGACGAAAATGGGAGACGGAATTTGGAATCAAACATTATGCAGGTTGTGTAACTTATAATGCAAAGGGATTTGTAGATAAGAACAGAGATGTACAACAAGATGTATTCTTTGACATTATTTCTAGAAGTAGCAACGAATTTGTTCAAGACCTATATAAATATCAAGACATCTCGAATACATTATCACTCAAAACAGGTGTTAATGGAGTCTCAACAATATCCAGGGGTACCAGTAAGGGGAAACCTACCGTTTCTGATACTTTCAGACATCAACTTCAGGCACTTGTTGATGTTTTACAGTCCACCACACCTTGGTATGTCCGTTGTATAAAACCAAATAAACACAAACTGCCGGATGATTATGATGATCGATTGGTATTAGATCAGCTCAAATATTTAGGAATGTTAGATATAATAAGAATACGCAAAGAAGGGTTCCCCATCCATATGACTTTTGAAGACTTTGTATTTCGTTACCATTGTCTTTCCAAAGAACGGCTTCCACCTGATATGATAAAGGCTTGCCAGAATCTCATAGATAGTCATAATTTGCCAAAGACTGAATGGCAATTAGGAAAAACCAAAGTATTTATGAGATCCCATGTTCATGAACCTTTAGAGGAGGCTAGGAATAGACTAGTCAGAACACAGGCAATACTAATTCAAAAAACATACAGAAGGTATGTTGCTAGAAAGGAATACATTAAAATTCGTAATGCTATTTTACGAATGCAGCATGCCTATAAAGGTTGGAAAATGAGAATAGAATTTTTGAAGAAAAGAAGAGCAGCTGTTATTATACAAAGTCACTTGAGAGGAGTTTTTGCGAGGGAGGTGGCTGCTGCTCTTCGAGAAATGAGACGAGTTGAAGAAGAAATGAGAAAGAGAGAAAAATTAGAAGAAGAACGAAAACAAAGAGAAAGAGAGAGGGAAGCAAAAGAGAGAGAAGAAGCTCGCAGACTTATGGAAGAAAATCAATTAAACGAACTACCCCCTCCTCCACCACCACTGTTCTCCGAAGATGATACGGATTTGGAGGAAAGTAAAAAGTGAGTAAAATTTCCCTAATTGTATTTTTAGTTCACTCTTCGCATTACATACAATTCAGTATTTTATTTTATTAGAGTTACATTAAGTATCAGTAAAGTCCATAAAAATGTTTATATTAATATTTGAGCTTTCAATTTACTTGAAAAATATAACTATGAGGTATAAATGAATGAAAAAATCAATAATGTAATGTCACTGCTGATCATTTGGAAATTCAAGTCAGAAACTTTAAATTCGCCATATGAAGATTTTTGAAAGGTAAATGTGTGCAGTAATATAACTGGACAGACTGGACTTTCATACGTGAAATCGAAATTTGTGTGACTCTGTCACTAATTGTCATTCACACCAAAGAAAGTGTGACTGCCGCTCCTTAGTACTGTGGTAACTTTGTTGTCATATTAAACTAAGGATATTTTTGAAAAAGGTACTAAAGGAATATTGACAAGACAAACTATAAAATACCAAGAATTCACAGGACGTTGAAATACCCCTCCTTGGAATTTAGGCTTTCGCGGCTATCTTCTGAAACTGTAGTTTATGGTTTTCAGACTGATAGAATTACTTCCGACTGTTTGAGCTAGGTAGAAGCAATCCACATTTTTATGACAACCCATACTGAACTATGATCGTCATCATCAAAAATGAATATTGAATCGGGTTTGGCGTCTGACGGCTATACTATTTCAGCTGCATTATTGACGAAAGTGTAAAATCTCAAACCTTTGATTGGAGCTAATACTTCACGTAAATACTCGTATTTAGGTTGATAAAGAGACTTTGAATAAAGGTAAATATTTGCAAATCGTAATCCTAGAGATGAGTCAACAGAAAAATCATAACATTTGTCTTGCCATAGTTAGAAGGCCCAATAATCTGACTGCGAATAGACAGTGAAAGTAAAGATCCTTGACGCTGTTTGACACCGCTTCCCGATCCACCCCTCATTTTTTCATCGAAATTATCGATGGAAAATTGTTGCTTCTGCTTTGGTATGCACATTGTACGACAGTTGGAGACTATATAAGCGGTGTTTTATATCGATATCTTTATTCAAATGGGGCTTTTGAGCCAATGCAGATCTACTAAATTATATTCAAATAGAACTGGTATAGGAATGGTCAATTCCCTCATTAATAATGTATCATTCGAATTACACTTACCTGGCTCTCAGAATTGCGGTTCTGGTACCAAATTATAGAAAAGATTGTCGAAAGGTGATCCGGGTGTCAATCAATTGCATTTTGTTTGCAAAAAACACGATATTGCATATCCACAGAAATCCGACAATCTTGCAGCTAGACACATAGCGGATCAGGAGCTTGCAGAAAGTGTTTGATTATATAATTCCGTTCCTGAAAGTTTGAAGAACCTCAGTATTACTTGCTTCAGATCAGAATATAAAAATAATTTATTCAAAACACAAGTCTAGATACCCCTCTGCCCCGCTGCCAAACCAACAAACATAACGATTTTCGTCACTTATCACTCATTTCTCTCATTGTCTATTTGTCAATTACATGTACAAACGCATATGAATTCTTCGACGCACTGTATTAGGTTTAAGTGGAAGAACATTTTCGTAGTAAAACTATCGTTTGTCTGCAGAAAATGAACTCCGCCCTTTATTTTCAGAAATGTTTTTATTTTTTTTTGCATACAATGTTAAAATCTATATGTATATTATTTGAAAATAATAAAGACCTTTATTATTATTATTATTATATATGCGTGACGATTTGCCAAAATCAGGACCACTCCGATATGAATCTGTCATAGTAAATTTGGATAGTTGACATGGTCAAGGAACACATTGGGTAGCATACAGAAAAAGTGATACTTCAGTGAAATATTTCGATAGTTTTGGTGATTTAATCCCTCCAAAAAATATGATTCACAATTTTTATAGGTGTTCAAATCCTATCAATATTATCACATATAACTATGAGCGTAAACAGCAATTCGACACAGTATGGAGCTGTCATTTGTGTATAAAGGTTCTCCAGAATAAGACATGGAAATAACACCAACGCAGGACAGGGCGAACCTCAAGAAGACGAATCATTCATTGATCGCATATTCCAGAGTACACACTTTACCAAAAATGAGTAAAGAACAACTCGCTCAAATGCCTAAAGAGGTGTTGATTGGGTGTGCATTACATGAACTTGCATCTGTAGGGGATAAGTTACCACAAAATCTACAAAATGGTATTGATGTCTTGAAGTATCAGTACTGCCGAAACCATTACAATGATTACACCGGCAACAGCAGTAATTCCGATGTGAATGATGGTCCAGCCACAAGAAAAATATTATATTGTTATTATAAAGTGAATGATGTGAATGTAGTCACACATAATGAGGTGGATCATTTGGGTAGCTCACCCAAAAAACGACGATTATTTCACAATTTCTGTTGTCAGCAATAAAAAGACATGCATCAGTGAAAATTCATCAGTCATGTCACGTACGTTTCCATTGTCGGGACACTCTAGCGAGTTGAGCGCCATCTTCTACCCACCCATCGAGTTGGATATTGGCACTAATTATGGTCTCGGCTTAACGGTTTCTATTCCTATAACTTTATATTCAATGTGGATGTGAAAAATAATGTTATCGGCTATTCTAAACAAGCTAACTCACCACCCCCGACCATTATAAAAATTCCGCCTGGCGCGGAATATTACATCTATCTCAAACATGAAAACACTATTGTCGAACTTATAGGGTTCGAAGCCGATGTGTTCAGCATAGGTGAAACTCATGAATCAACATTGCCGGTAAATATCAATAAGATAGAATTATTTGTGTGGATTGTTATGTCATATATGGAGCATATTCAAATGGTTATGGAAGGAACCAAAAAATATTATTTTACATGCCAATCCAGCCTGGCGGTCGTCAGTACTACGACAATATCACTTTACGCGTATTGGATGATAATGGTAATCTGACCAATTTCAATGGTGAAAAAATAATAGTCTAGTTGGAATTGATGAAGTTATAACAATCATTTCTCGTATGTTGATCTACAACATCATAAAAAATTAGTAAAGAAAACATACTTACATAAGTTTGGTCGCAGAAGTAAGGCAGTTTCAAATACTTGTTGTAAATCATGCCCTAAAGAAAATAACGCCGGCCGCCACTGGTAGTCATAAACCAATCGTGACGTAGCTAAGAGCGCGCGAATATACGATGCTCCATATCGCTCTAGAAGCAGCGAGAATAATGCTACCGATTTCGATCGAACTTTGGCGAAATTTCTACTGCATTCGATTACGATATATAAACGCTAGCCTCGAGCATATCGACAGTCAAGTGGAAGCTACAGTGCGGTACGCGAAGTGATCCAGTAAGGGGATAGACATTCAAATAATAGTTGAAGTTTTAGTTGAAGTGCTTTTTGTATGTAAAGTGAAATAAAGTTAAGTTTGATTATTCAGTGTAGTCGATTATTGGTCAGAAGTGGGATAATTGACTAAACATTTACTGTTTTTTTTTGGGGAAAACAGGGTGTGTCGATTACGACGAGATGGAAGAGCTTGAGAAAATGTTCGAGGCTTTGCAAGCGGGCCTGGCAGAGAATGAAAATTGCAGAAGAGAGGAATTACATTACACCAAAATGAAGATCGTGAATTACTACTAGGTATTCAGGAAAAACAGGAAAAAGACAGAGACTTGCTGGTGAATATTCAAGAAAAACAGGAAAAGGCAGAGACTTGCTGGTAAATATTCAGGAAAAACAGAAAGTGTTTCAGGAAACAATGCAGGGATTATAAAAAAGCAGTCGATGAGAAGCTTGAGGGGGTTGAAAATAAATTTAAAGAGGAGCTTGAGAAAAAGCTTGAAGGATTCGACAAAAGAGGTTTTCCGGGAACTTCGCAAAGAATCGCGGGACCTAAAAAGGTTTACTGTGAAAAAATGCAAATCGAAAACGACATCTTCCCCTTCTAGCAGTCTTCTTATCAAAACTTCAACTTTCGCTGGCGAATCTTCATGGTCAATTTGACTTAGACAATTTGAGGCAGCTGCCAATTTGAGGCGAAAGCAACAGCTCTCATACTGGCACTACAAGGAAAGGCTTCCGAAATTTTGCAAAATATTTCAGTGAATAGGCAGAAGGATTATAAAGCAGTCGTATCAGCTTCTGATATAGTAGTGAGCACCTTTAACAAGTCTACCAAGCTCAACTGAAGGTGAGAACTTAAAGTCCATCAGAAAGTTTGAAGCTGAAGTCGAGAGGTTAGTAAGACTCACCTATCCAGAAGCCATGATAACTTCATCCACTAGATTAGTGTCCATAATTTCATCGACGGGGGTTTGTGTTACGTAGCTGCAGCAGTCATTAAGAATGACACGTCATGAAAAATTGAAGCTATCATTTATGCCCTAGAATTTGAAGTTGCTAAAAATGCTTCGCGACAACAACGAAAAGTTCTAGTGAGGACCATCAATGAAAAGGAAGACAAAGGAACAGATCTACTCATGGTAAGTCTTGAAGAACTCCTAAGAAATATTTGGTGATTGGAAGTGCAGCCAAGGCAAGAGGACGGCCTAAATGTTATATCTGTAGCAGAGAAAGACATTTAATTTCCCTACGAAGGACCAAGCTATCGTCTTCAATGCCATTGATAATATCAAACTACAAGAATACCTTCTTCAGTTAGGACCTATCGTTCATCCAAAAAATATTATCTTCTCATCTAGAATTTCCAACAATAGAATTTGCATTTACCTTGTTAATATAGGCTCCTTTTTCTTTGTTGTTTTACTTTATCAAAACACCGTATACATTTTCTTTATTTTGTATTTCCAACTTGACACTACATTCCTCTACAACCTACATCAAGGAACCCAGAACTTAACTAAAAAAAACTTCATTATATGTCAAGGCAGTGCAGCCAAAAGCATAATACAAAAATCACCAGTATTAGGCATATTTTAACATACCTGTCTAGCAAAAACATAGTCGATAGATTTCTCAAGGAACACGG